TGTACTGGTGAGACTGTCCTCATGGTTGGAAAAGCAGAGATCCTGGTGGAACTGAAAAGGGCCAGACTTTCGATTTATTTGGTTTAAGGGGATTAACTAGCATTGATGGGCAGATCATGATTGGGGATCATTCCTCTGTATTGGATTAAAGTGAACAAAGTGTCAGTGGGTGAGACGAGGCCGTCAGCAGTGCTGAGGCGACATGCAGCGTGTTCAGGGATGGAGTGGGAAGCAGGAAGGGGAACAAGGTCAAGCTGCAGGTGAAGCCTGGCACCACACCACGCTTCCTGAATGCCAGGAATGTCCCCTGTGCACTGAAACCTAAAGTCGACACGGACATATAGAGACTGGTTAAGATTTGGGTGTTTGTGCCCAAACCACACAGTCAATGGGCAACACCAGTGGTGCTGGATGGTAAAACATGATGGGTCAGTTAACATGTGAGGAGACTTCAGTGGGACTTTAAATCCAGTGCTACATATCTGTGGAACCCTGTACTAACTGTGGAACTGTACCTACTAAACAGTTAAATCAGAAAATATATATTCTGTATATCTGTTATAGCTACCCATAAAAATAAGACTACTGTATACCTCATTCTCAAAATGCATTTAGAATCTGAGAAATATTCAGCTTCTTATAAAAGACCACTGTGGATGCAGGGGATTGTGGGTATAAAGGTAGCTGTGCTAATGCAGTTGAAATCAGCCTGAAATCATGTCACTCACTGTACAAGAAGTAACCGTGAATGTTAGTGAGTGACTGGGAGCTACATGCAAACCTGCCTGTGCTGACGGCTGCCTGCTGTCTCTCTGAGTGACTGTGAGATGTGGCTGCTTCTCTCTGCTGTTATGAGGACGCTGATGTCAGGAAGCCGCCGTAATGAAATAAGCTCCACATGTGGACAGTTCTTATGTCTTTTATATAACTATAGGTTATAATTCCCATAAGGCAGCAGCAGTGGCAGTCAGTGGTGCTGCAGGACCTCTGTCTCTCCATAAAATGACTGTTTTATCAGCAGTACAGAGGGCAGTGCTGTCACTGCATATCCACAGTGCTGTCACTGCACATCCGCAGTGCTGGGGGCTGAGTCCCCTGTCTGTCTGCAGTTTGCTCGCTCTCCCTCTATCACATGGGTTTCTACCTGCAGCCCACAAACACGTGTTTATGCTACTTTCTAAATTCCGCATGACATTTGATAGCCTCTGTGTGTGTATGTGCCCTGTGATGGACTGGAATCCCCTGCAGGGTGAACCTGTATCTTAGGCCTTGTGCTGTCTGAAATAGACCCCCCACCCTGCCCCCCAAAGCTGGGTAAGTTGTAGGAGGATGGATGGATTAATGGATGGATATTTGTGTTTCCTTCACAGAGACCAAGTGAAAAGATGTCATTCATACCCACATAGAGAAGACTTATCCATCAGCAAGGTTTGCATTTACTGCTGAAGTTTATTTTCTTAAATTTTATCTAAATTGGCAAACATCTTCTGGTGTACAATTAGTAGTTTGTCCCATCAAAGGGAAGATATCTGCAAATTAACAAGTGAAATCATAAAAAGATATGATGTTGGCAGTAATAATAATGAAATTGTAAATGTTTCTGAAGGATGAGCTGAGGAGATTCAGAAGGTACCTAGATCAGAATTACCCAGAATGCTCTGAGTCTCAGGTGGAGGAGGACGATGACCTGGACAGTGATGGTCAGATGCAGAAGGCCTGTGGTAGAGAGGGAGCTCTGAAGATCACACTGAACAACCTGAGCACCATGGAGCAAAATGATCTCCCTGACATGCTGGAGAAGAGTAAGAGCTGTATCTCATTCTGTGTGTGTTTGGCCACAGAAAAATAGTATATGAAAAAATGTGTATTACATATCAGTTTATCATTTAATTTAATTTGATTTAGTTTTGCTTGTATGAGTAAAAAATGTGTGTTTGATTAACGTTTGTGGATTTACCTCTCATTGCTTTTCAGGAGATGTTCTGCCACGATGTCAGCCCATAATC